TCAAGCTTGCTCACATGTTCCATCGACGTACTGCCTCAATGCCTCTGCCACTGCAGCCCCGAGCTTCTCAGCATGTTTCACCAGGTCGCACCGCATCTCCACCACCAGAGTGAAGCAACCGGACCTAGCAAAGACCTCCCCAAGCTGGCCAGCGGCATGCGACCACTCGCCCATCTTCAGTGCCAAGTCGCGCACCCCGCGAAAGTTCCCATGCTCCGGCACTGTGCCCATTGCAACGGCCTACAGGGCAAGTCGTGATTCTGAGCTCGAAACTGAAACTGTCAACTGGTCAAGCGCTGCCCGAACGACAGTTGTCAGCAACGTGGACATTCTCGGATGTGTCCTGAAGCTGTGCACACGCTGACAAAAACATTGACTCTGCAACAAACGAACCGAGAAGTCAAAGCACTTCAACATTCCCAACCGCAAGAACGGAAAACGAAGCAATCTCAACCACCTTCGTGTTTTGGTTTGCCAACACAGCTTGCTGCGAAAACGATGCCTTGCCACCGAGCAACTTTTCCGGACGTTTCCGACATGTCGTGCGCGATCGGCCACAAAGCAGAACGCACCCTCCACGCTCAGGAATCTCACAACAGAATGGGCCCCCAGTGCGCTTCGCACGCTGCACTTGGCTCGAAACAGATCTGCACAGTAGAATGCATTGCGAGCAACGGAGCCCCATCGGCCCCACAAGCTTCGCCGTCAACACACTCGTCCGGATAGGGCTCGCTTGTCCATGCCTTGGCTCAAAAGACACTGCAGCCCCAAGCACCGATCAGCTGCTGCACCCATGAGCTGCTGCCGCCCGCATATCAAACGCGCTCCAGAAACACAGAAGCGCACGCACGCACTTGTGACAAATGCCGGCGCGCCCAAGCCTTCGACCTGTGGCGGGGCAAGGCTTTGGGCGAAAGTCTGTGCTCTCAGCTGGGTTTGCGTGTCAGGCGCTTTTGCAACCAGGTGCTCCAAAGCATGGGCGCGATACTCGAGCAGCAAGCCTTCCACGCGTGCTGTTTACGAGCCTCGCTGAGATCGTGTGTGAGAGGCGTAGGACAGGGTGCCGTGGCAGCAGGCTATGCGCTTTGCACGCGAAGCAAGCAGCTTGTTGCGAGCAAGTGTGGGCCAGCCATCGCGGAAGGTATCTTGCTGTGACTTCCTGCGGGCCGAAACGTTCTGATCAGCAATTTCCGTTGCGATCTAGCTATGTTCCCAGGGCAAGCGTCTCCCAGGCGAGCAGCAGCTCGTGTTCTGCGAAGCTCTTACGCGACAAGAAGGCAACCCATCAAAGTGCAGGTAGCACGCTTCCCCTCGAGAAGTGCAGAAACCTGTTCTGAACAAACAATAAAACGAACCTGCGGCAGAGAGAGAAGGGGCGGTGGGCACTTCCAAAGCTACACGAGGTAAAATGCTTCCAAACACACACGAGACCTCGTACAACGCCCTAAGCTGAAGCGGCTGCCGCCCACCAGCTTGTTGAAGACCAACACCTTGATGTTGGTCTGACTATCCTGCAGATGTGGGGACCTGCGTCTCCTCGAAGTACGACCTCCACCACGACGCCCGCCGCAGATCGTCCAAGCCCGCATCCATGGCAACCCGAGCGATCGGCTTGCACCGCGCACATCCCTGGTAGGTTGCTTGGGCTAGGCTCCAACTACCCTCCCACTATCGAAGCTTTCCTATCCCAACTTCAATCCTTCAGTATTCACACCTTGATGCACTCTTAACAGTGCTACACTTGATGTCGCGTGAGTAGCCAGGTTGAGAGGCCTTGCGCCTTGTAGGTAGTTCAGTGCGCTAGACGAGTTCCACAAGGCTTCCACCGGGCGACTGCAAGGCAAAGAATCCCACTCGAGTGCATCAGGATTTGAAACCTGTTCTAGCCCCGGGAAAGGAGAAGTCTGCCTACTTCAGCCAATCCATCAGTGTGTCCAGATAAGGAGTGTCACGAATGAACCCCTGTTAACACTGCCTCCATCTCAGCATCCTGCTCATCTTTCCAAGCCAGGAGCGCCAGGTGCTCTGCTGTCTCCGCCGGGAGGTGGCCCTGCTCCTGGCACAGGTCAGACGGCTATTGGCCTTCAGCCGGTCCTCTCACTCTGTCGCTACTCTGTAAGTCTTTCTGGCACTGGCCTTCGCTACCGCTAACTGATGCAAAGATACCGAACACAGAGGGGGCATTTGCTGCCATGGACCATCCTAAAACAGCATAACAGCAAATGACATGATTGTACACGCAACAAAATATAATCGCCTGAGATTCAGCTGTGTCTGGCTACTCTCGGACTTGGAGTGCACAAATAGAAGAAGTGTGTCGACTATTAGGAACGGTATATGTCCCTTTTCAGATGTTTCTTTGTCGCAAGCGAGCTCCAACACTATCCTTGCCCAATGTTCGAATTTCCCAATTGTCTTATCTTGTTGAATTTGAGAATGTCAAGAAGCTTCAAAAATAGAAGCTTGAAAGGTAACCTGAAATCAGGTCCTGCCTTCAGCCAGTGAAACCATCTGGCCGCCAGAAAGCGCGTGGAAAGAGCCCAAGGGCCCTGAAGCGGGTAGGGGCTGGGGCCCAGCTGAAAGCCGTGCCGCTCCAGCGACAGGTCCAGAAATCGCTGCAGCTCCTGCCACAAATCAGAAGACCCAAACAAAATATTCAGCTAGACGAGCTAAGCTGCAACCCGGCTGACTGGGCAGTCTTTATCCAGTTATATGACGATTGTATGATTCTCGTATCCTCAGTGTTTCATCTTGAGGGGCCCTGGGTCAACATATTTTGATTGGAAGGCCAAACAAAGATTGGGATCAAGCCCGAGGCGCTTCCTGGCTCTCTGCTTGTCAGGGCGGAAGGCTGAGGGTTGTCGGTATCTGTCTTTCTTATTTGCACCGGCGAATCATCAAACATCATCCCAGCCAAACAGGCGGACCCAAGCGATCCGCAAAGCCAAGCAGGAAATGGATCTGGGCGCGTGAAACATCTTGACAAATTGATTGTCTTTAAGAACCCCAGCCACAATGTTGGCCTCTTTGAGACTGCAAATTGTCTCTTCTGTTCCTCTTGCCCGGTCTTTTGTCTCCTTCGGAGTGCCCCGGAGGTCCCCTGGCAGCAGCCGCGCCAGGCCCACGGGCCGCTGTGTGGCCCAAGGGGTGGACAGCACCACCGCGGCCTCGCTGCGGCGCAGTGGCCGTCCCCCGTTCTGCATGTCGTAGGTGGAGCCCAGGTCCCCGTAGCCTCAAGCGGGCGAGCAAATTATTGAGATGTTGAGATGTGAAGGAGCACGACACGAAGAAATCAGGACAGAGTATATCCTGATTTCTTCCAAGGGCAATTGGGGAAGCGCGCTGAGCACTGACCTTGAGACTCTCTTCTTTCCATTGGCCTCAGACCCTGCGCCGGGAGCCTCCGCTTGCAGCTATGGCACTGTGGATCTCAACGAAGCCCCGACACTCTGCAGAGGCCTCCCGGATCTGCTCCAAACAAGCGCGATACCTTTGCAGGCAAGCGAGCTTCTAGAAGCTCGTGCGGGGCTCAAAACTTCGAGGACAGCCGAAACAATAAAATTATACAAGTCAATATGCCCACGTGGCAAACCAGGCGCTCGCTTTGTCAGTCAGTGAGTTCCATGCGGTGTCATGAGTCATGCTTGCTTCTTTGACCGTATTGTGTGGGTGATAGGGCCACGCCATGGCCGGCAAGCAAGGTGATTCTGCTTGTTCCGTGATGGAAACAGTGGCTTACATCATTGCTGCTACCGTTTGGGACTGGGTCCCAAACACCGCAGTTTTTGGCAGTTGTGTCTTCTTTTTCCAGTGTGGGGGGAAGTGTGTCCGAATTTGGTCTGCGCGAGTTGGCGCGGGTTTGCGAGTTCGCGCAGGTTCCTGCGGGTTTGCGCCGGTTCGCGCGAGTTGGCGCGAGTTTGCGCGGCTCTGCGCGGGTTTGCACGGGTTGTGCGGGTCTGCGCGGGTTCGCGCGGGTTTGCGCGGGTTTGCGCCGGTTCGCGCGGGTTGGCGCGGGTTTGCGCGGATCTGCGCGGGTTCGCACGGGTTTGCGCGGGTTTGCACGGGTTCGCGCGTGTTCGCGCGGGTTTGCGCAGGCTTCCGCGGGCTGCGCGGGTTCGCGTGGGTTTGCGCCGGTTCGCGCGAGTTGGCGCGGGTTTGCGCGGCTCTGCGCGGGTTTGCACGGGTTGCGCGGGTCTGCGCGGGTTCGCGCGGGTTTGCGCGAGTTTGCGCCGGTTTGCGCGGGTTGGCGCGGGTTTGCGCGGGTCTGCGCGGGTTTGCACGGGTTTGCGCGGGTTTGCGCGGGTTCGCGCGGGTTCGCGCGGGTTTGCGCGGGCTTGCGCGGGTTTGCGCGGGTTTGCGCGGGTTTGCGTGGGCTTGCGCAGATTTCGTGGCAGGCGCAGCACTCTCGCAAGGTCAAGTACAGATTTGGTGGCAATCGCGGCACTTTTGCGAGGTCAGGTACAATTTTCGTGGCAGGTGCAGAACTTTCGCAATTGCGTGGCAGGCGAAGCACTTTCGCAAGGTCAGGTAATGTTAGACCTCCTTTATTAATAGTCCCCTCTATTGTAGAAAAAGGGGCCCTCTGCTATGGAAAGTTGTTTTGCCGGAAACAACGCTGGCTGGGAAAATATGGTCAAACAGAACAAGAGGCCCAGATCCTCATTAATGCGACTGTTCTGGGGTCCTCTTTAGTGTCCAACTGACTTTGGGTTGCTGAAAAAACGACCCTTGGCAATATTAAAGTAGAAATTGCAGTACTAAAGTAAGTACTGGCCTTGGCAAGACTAAAGTAGAATTGGCAATACTACAGTAAGTATTCCTTTCCAGACCCCCAGGATTTGGCAAGGTCAGGTCCGTCTGACGAGGCGAACCGGCGCGCACTGGCGCGAACCGGCGCGAGCCGGCGCGAACCGGTGCGAACCGGGCGCGAACCGGCGCGAACCGGTGCGAACCGGTGCGAGCCGGCGCGAACCGGAATTGCAGACGCGCTACCACCGCAATGGTTTTTTTTATTTATTTTTTTATTTTTTTTCGGAAAAGGAAGAGTGCTTGAGCATTCACTTGAAACCTGAAAGGGAGCTCGCACTTTTCAACCGATCTTGCACCTTCCGAGGCACCAGGTCTCCAGGGCCTCAGGTGCACCGGGCTTCAAGCGCTGCAGCGCCCAGCTGCTCAGAGCACCCTTCCCAAAAAGGCTCCTCAGCCCGTGCCAGACGCACCACATGGGCTGCCAAAAGTTCACCCAACACGAAAGCGACTTTGGGTTAGGCACACGTGAAGACGCTTGAGTGACTTGTGTGGCATCATGTGTGTGTGTGTGTGCGTGGGCAAAGTCCTTCGGCATGAACCGGTCAGCTCACCATCTAGACAAGGCCTGTTGACTTTTGGTTCTGCCAACATGGTCATAAAGCTAAGCTTGCGCAGGGCTTTACTAGAATCCGCTAAACCAAGGATTAGAAGCGCTTTTTGAAATGGCCGACAACCGTGTGGGCCGCTGCCCGTATAAAGAATTTGATGCGCGTATCTCAAATGTGCTTGCGTCAATCCTTCACATCCCTTCACTGGGAAGTGCTTCAACTATTTACCCGGATGGGCATGTCAATAAGCCGCCAAAAGCCTGGACGCCGCAAACTGCGAACCAAAGCAGTGTTCATGCACTGAGTCAAGTGTCTCAAGCTTGGCAAAAGTAAAGTTCCAAGCGCCTCTTGAAACCAAGCAACTAGCCCATCCGTCGTCACCCAAGATAACCTGACACTTGAAGTCAGTTCGTCACGCGAGGTCCTAGTACCTCTCCGAAGTCTCCCTTTGCCCAAGCTTCTCTGCGGCTTCTGATCGGCCTCGCCAGCCACGATTCAAGTCCAGGAGGCCACCTCAGCTATGCTCAGATTCGCGAGCAAGAGTGGGAATGATTCGCCCCCAAAAGTCCAGCTACAACAATCCATGCATGGCGTAGCAGCTGCTATGGGAGCTGGCATCCTTACAATTTGTGCCCAGCCAGCACTGCTCTGTAAGCCCTGCACATGCTCTGCCCACATTGGCTCTGCGTTACGGCTCTGCGAGATGTACTTTGTCAACATGTGGCCTCTGCGTCTTTGAGCTCATGCGTCTGTATCTGTCCGTCTCTGGCGCCCGTCGGAACGTCAATGTGGCTATGGGTCTGGACATCGGTGTGCCTGTGCACCCATTGGCGCTTTCCTTCATTGCGTGCATGCGTGCGTGCACAGAGTTGGTGGGTTGGCGGCTTCGTGGGTTGCTGGGTTGCTGGGTTGCTGGGTTGTTTCGCTTGCTTGCAAGCAGTTGTTTTGATTGATTGCTTGCAAGCAAGCAAGCCTGCCTTCCTGCCTGCCTGCCTGGCCTGCCTCTCTCTGTGTGTCTCTGTCTGTGTCTCTGTCTGTCTCTGAATCTACCTATCTCTGTCTGTTTGTGCGTCTGGCTGTCTGCCTATTGGTTGCGTGGTTGCTTGTTTGCTTGTTGAGTTTGTTGCGTGTTTTGTTCTTGCATGTGTTTTGTGTGTGTGTGTGCGGTTGTCTGTGCTTGTGTGTGTGTGTGTCTGCTTGTTAGGTTGGTTGTTGGCTCGTTGGTTTGTGGTGCTTCTAGTTTCAAATGGTTTTGTTTCTGAGTTGTTTACGTCCTCTGGCGTTTGTTTGTTTCTGCCTCTATTTCAACCTGCTTGCGTCCTTTTTGTATGTCTTCATGCTTGCTTGCTTCCTTGCTTCCTTGCTTCCTTGCTTCCTTGCTTCCTTGCTTCCTTGCTTCCTTGCTTCCTTGCTTCCTTGCTTCCTTGCTTCCTTGCTTCCTTGCTTCCTTGCTTCCTTGCTTCCTTGCTTTCTTGCTTCCTTGCTTCCTTGCTTCTTGCTTCCTTGCTTCCTTGCTTCCTTGCTTAGCTTCCTTGCTTCCTTGCCTCCTTGCTTCCTTGCTTCCTTGCTTCCTTGCTTCCTTGCTTCCTTGCTTCCTTGCTTCCTTCCTTCCTTCCTTCCTTCCTTCCTTCCTTCCTTCCTGGAATTTCTGTCTTCCTTACTTTCGTGGTTTCTTGCTTTCTTCTGTCTTCCTTGTTTCTTCCTTCCGTCCCTCCTTTCCCCTTTCTTCCTTTATCCTCCTTGCGTCCTTTCTATCCCTTTCTTCTTTATTTGTTGCATTGGTGTTATTGTGTATTGCATATGTGTGCATGTGTTTATGTATTGATTTGTGTACCTAGTATGTGTCCTTCATACATATATATATATATATATGTTGTGCTTCGTCACGGTCGTTGTTGTTGTATTTCTTGTTTGATGTATTTATTCCGTCCTTTCTTGTTTTGTTTATGTTCTTATTTTATGTATTCATTCATGCAGAGCTTTATTTTGACTTTTGCGTATCTGCTTGTTTGTTTCTTCCTTCCTTCCTGTCTTTCTTTCTTTCGTTAATTATTTCTGTAGCATTTCTCTCTTGTATATCTATGTGCATTCCATTCTTTATTTCTTTGTGTCTTCCTTTTCTTCCTTTCTCACTTTATTCCAATGATTATTTTGTTGGTTGTTTTCTGTATTTCGTCCTTTCTTTCCTTATTTCGTTCTGTCTGTACTTCTTCTTTTTTGCTTATTTATGTCTTCCTGCATTTCTCTTTTTCTTTCGTTCTTTATTTCTTTACTTTCTTGATTTTATTTCTTTCTTTCCTTCCTTCCTTCCTTCCTTCCTTCCTTCCATCCTTTCTTTACTTCTTTCTTTTTCTTTATTTCTTTCTTTCTTTCTTTCTTTCTTTTCTTTCTTTCTTTCTTTCTTTCTTTCTTTCTTTTCTTTCTTTCTTTATTGTCTTTCTTTCTTTATGTTCTTTCGTTCTTTCTTTATTTATTTATTTCTTTCTTTCTCCCTTTCTTTCTTTCTTTCTCCCTTTCTTTCTTTCTGTGGCAGCACATCGCCTTGTTGGTGCTCCGTCAACTTGCAGTATGTGGCTTTAGCAAACACACTGTGCTCTAGGCGGCTTGCATTCGGTCCAAACCAAACCCGCAGTGCAGTTGGTGGGAGTGCAAGGCGTAGGCCTCGGCCACTTCGGGGAAGTTAGGTTTCACTCAGCCTTGTGCGGATGACACCTTCACTACTCCTGAGGTGAGCATTCACGCTTGACAGGTGCCCCAGCGCGTCTCTACAATCGGGGAGGCCCTTCCAGCTGCCTTGCTTCTTGCTGTGGGTTTTGGACCCCAATGTCTTGTTTGATTGTCTGTTTGTTGGCTGTAGTTTGCTTGTTTGCTCAACTGATTGATCGCATGTGTCTTACATGCGTTCTTGTCTGCTTAACTGTTGGGGTGCTTGCTTCTCTGTTCATTGCTGCTTTCTCAAGTGGTTGCTTGTGTGTATGCTTGGCTGCTCGCTTGGTTGGTTGGTTGCTTGATGATTGTTTGAGCTTGCGTTGGTTTAGCTTGATTTGAGTCGTCTGGAAATGGTTGGCTTGTCTCTTTCTGAGTTTCTGCCGTTGGTGCTTTGTTTGGCTGGTTTAGTTCTTTATTTGTTCTTTGTTTTTGTCTGTGCGAGTGGTCAATTGCTATTTACCTGTAGGTTTGGGTGTTTGGCTGTTTGGTTGGTCATGTGCTCTGATTTCTTTTGCGGATGGGTGTGATAGGTGAGATGCGCGTGCGTTTGCGGCTGCGTTCATCTGTGTGCATGCTTGTTCATGTGTCTGTAAAAATCGTGTGTTTTGCCCTTCTGCGTTGCACCGCGCATTGCCGTGTTGTGTGTACTTGCGCTTGCGTGCGCACACTGCACTGCAACAAGCGTGGTAAAGGAGAGGTCAACGCATGCCGTGAATCCCAAATGTGGCAAGTGCCAGAGCCCCATCACCTAAGCCAGTACGGTAGCGCACCGCCTGTACGGTATGCATGCCTCCACATCTTCATGGGCAAAGGTCTTCAAAACAATTTCCTTGCCTGATCTTCTGCAGTGGCACCTTGAGTAACCCGATTTGGCCTAGAAACGTGGCAGCACTGGGCGGAAGCCAGGCGTTGCCAGCTGTGCGCAGGCCGCTTCGAAAGCTTCCCCGCTGCCATGGTCGTGCCACTCCTACAGCTGCGAATCTGGAGCAGCCAGGAAGCCAAAAGGATATGAAGAAACTCACGGGTCAACAGTCACGCGATCGAAACGGTTGCCCAAGTCAATGCCTTGAGTGTTGCCGTATTACCAAAAGGAGCGCCTTCCTTGCCATCTGAATGACGAAGCAACATGATTGAAGCATTCAAGCATCACACACCCATCCGCGAACTGAAAAGTCGAGACTCATCCATTTCCTCCGCCACTTCGAGCCTGTTGCCAGGCCATCCCTGTATGAATGGCCTGCAGCAAGGCAGAAAGGTGGATCAGGAATCCTCCACCAACGAGCCAAAAATAAGTACTAGAGTACCTGGGAAGCACAGCAGCTGGCAATTGGTAAGCAGCGTGACTCACTCGATCAGCAAACTGGTAGCCTGACTGCCAACTAGAAAGCAGCGAAAGTGATTGCAAGGCAAGGGGAAGGTCAAAATAGCATTGAAATAGCTGTGCAGTGTAATTCCCGGGAATTGTGTCATGGAGGCAAAAAAACGAGGCTCTCACAAGGCCTCAAATGTGTGGACGTTCAGTGCGCTAAATCGCCCAAAATGCATAGTGTGCTTTACATTGCACCCGATTGGCAAAGGCATCCTCTACCGATGTAACTCGCAAAGTGAAGCAAGTCAAGCAGCCTTAGGATATGGACTTCGGCTAAACTTCGTGCAAAGTGTGTCATCGTCGTGATTGTGACTGAAGTTTTTAGACCAAGTCACAAGAGCCAAACTAAATTATCATGATGCGAACACAAAGTCGTCTGGCCAAGACGTGAGAGCAAGGACAAAGCACCCACACACCCCTAGATCAAGATTAATCTAAGGCACCCAACACCCTCCAGCTCTGCCACGGCATGGGGTGCCACCAGCAGGAACGAATTCCCGCGCCCACTGGGCCCAGCCCGGCGCAGCGGGTTCTCCGGCGCAGGAAACAACTCCATGGGCGGCTGGGGAAGGCAGCCCCGTCGGATGGTCAGCAGAGCAAGAAGGGATGCCAAGCAGCTTCGTCTAAACTTGCGCTCTGACACTTCCACGGGTTTTGCGAGCTTGTGGGTCTTGCAGCTTCGGTGGCTCTGGATTTTGTGACGTCAGGTTTTGTGGCATTCAGGCCAAATGATCTGAGGCATGAAAGAGTCAATCAGTTGGCTTGAAGGCTTGTTGCTTGCGAAGTCCTTGAGCACAAGACTGCTCCAAAGCAACAGTCAAGCCATCTTTATGATCATCACAGCAAAAGGCATGGGTTGCACAAATGATACTGATCATTCAGTGATATGTGGACTTCACAAGCTCGAACAAAGAAGAATGAAATGCAGTCTCCAGTCCAACCAGAGTACTGGTTTCAAAAAAGACAAGCACTTGCTCCTGCTGCGCTTGCTGGGCATCAACAAAGTGCGTTTCCACCATCGCTCTCCAGGGGCTCCTTAGGCCTTGTGGGCAGCTTGATCATCATCCTGCGATGCCCCAACTCAACTTCGAAAAAGCTATACATTGTCCACATAGTGTCTGCCAGAAGAGTCCCATGATTTGGGAAAGGATTGGCATGCTCAAGCACTTCTGGATGTGTTGTATCACGAAAGTATGGTCGTCTAAATATATGCTTGCAGGAATGGCACGAAAGCATACCATATGTGGACGAGCTCTAGGCTCGCTTTCCAAAGTGGCAGTCTTCTGGCCTGCTGGCATTGGACCACCCTGCCCGCAAACCGCAACACTGCATCGCGCAGGCTTCCATGAACTGGCAAGGCAGCTGAAGCAAAAAAACATAGAGAGAGAGAGAGAGAGTCAGAGAGAGCTTCTCCTTGTGGTCATTCAAGCAAGGACTGCAAGTATGGAGATATACTAGATATACTAGTGCAGTGCAAAATACTTGACTTGAGTGAAGACGTCCCTATGCATGCACATACGCTGACGGCAAGCAGTGCCTCCTGCATCAGCTGCACTTCCAGCAGTCCTCCCATCGGTTGCACACATCGACGCAATGCACGTGGATCCATGTATTCTCTGTGTGTGTATGCACCCTGAGCTAAAAAAAAATCAGAAAAACACTCATTCTAACCACGAATGAGCGCGCTTGCCTCTTTTCTGTACATGTGAACAATGTCTTTGCATAGCCCGCACACGGCATGAGCATTGGAATCCAGTTCCATTCGACACGCCAGGGCCACAAAATCTAAGACTCGGATGAATTTCTGGGCAGGGATTTGGCTTTGCCAATGTGGACAAATTCAACGTGCCCCAGCGGCGACAAGCAATTCTCTTTCCGCACGCTGGAAGCCTTCCAGGCTGGTGTTCAAGCTCTGGATTTGCTGCTTCAGGGACTGCATCATATTCCGCACATGCAAAAGCTCGGCTTTCTGTGCAGGACTCAGATGCTTCTCTGTCATGACATCCCATTGCTTCTCGGCAATTTCTGCAAAGCCACCCCCGTCTGAAAGCGGCATCCACCTCTCGTCGTCAAAGGCTGATGCAGAGTTGCTGCGCTGCACGTGCATGTCAATCTGCTTGGACAACATGTGATGCAGATTCTCCTCAGAAAACAGTATCTCAAGCACTGCGACTCAGATCAGTACTCGGTGAGTTTGAGAAGCACCCTTGACTTTGATCACAGATCACAATGCTATGGTCGCTCCATTCTCGAACCAGCTAGCAAAGAGCGAAGGGTGCATGTTCAATTCTTCAGCGTGGTCATTTGGCTTGGCCGCTACAAGCGGCAATATCAACAAGAAACTCGAAACTCGTTTGGCCTTCCGTAGGTCTCAAGGTGCTTCTCACCTTCCGCTCTGAAGCCCAAGCGGCCGACTTCACTGAAGCCCGCCTTGCCACCTCCGTCTCTGGAATTGGCCGTGGGGCAGGCTGCGGCGCAGTCGGTGGCTTCGTCACCACAAAATCAACAGCGGCTGCGGCAACTCCTCGAGGCGTCGGCATCGGGTCGTGTTTGGCAGGGCTTCGACAGCCTAACGGCTAAAGCCAACCGCTCAATCACTCAAACAAGGGCTGTCAGATTGTATATTGCAACTTCAATCTGGTCAAACGTTTGAGCTTGCAATCCTTCCTAGATTTCAACTGCACTGCGGCTCCTCTGCCGTTCACTGTCAAAAGCTTTGGGCGAGACAGGACATCACGATCACAATCGCCAGCCCGCCGCATTGCCAAAGTCCTCCTCACCACTGGGTGCATGTTCTCCAGCAGCCTGGGTTCGCGCAGTCCCCCAACACGACTTGGAGGTCGGGTCACGAAAGGAAGACTCACTCTACCGTACATACAAGCTTCAGGGATGCATGCTCCAAACCAACACGGGACTGGGCCGCACGTCTGCAAGCAACGGATGGCACGCAAGCATAAACCTTTGAAGTCTGAGACAATGCGCATAGTACGCGCACATCGCCAAGGAATTGCCTGCCCAAGTTCTCTCCGCGAACACTCTTTGCGCAAGTTGGCTGTGGCTCAAACACGTGTACCAAAATGGCACCTTGGCAACTGGAACCAAAGACTAAAGCCCGCGTATCTCTTGATTTTCAATTTTGAGCCCTGCGCAAGTTCTGAATGCAAGCTTCTTTGCGCAAGCCCTCAAACCAAGTTTCTCTGCGCAAGTTCTGTCTGCAAGTTTCTGCGCGCTGCTGCAGGCTGCTTTGCGCTGAAAAAGTTGAGACACAGAGTCCGACCTCTGCGCAACTATCTGTGCAATCTCATGTGTTTCCTTATCTCTGTCCCTCTGTGCAGTGTCTCTCTGAGCAGAAGCAAGCAAGCTTCATCAAAGCAAGTCTTCTGTATGCAATATCTCCGTGCAAGAAGCAGGCCATCTTGCAGTATTGCACCATCGTCTTTTTCCTGTCATGTCATTTTTACATTAGCCCGCAAAAGCTCGGCCCAGATCCCGCCAAATTCAAAGAGGAATGAAATGCGAAGGCGCGTCCCTGTGAAAGCCTCGGAACCGGGCACCTTTGTACTTCTCCTCACTCTTCTTGGCCAAGTGTTCGTATCGGGTGAAGGGGTCGGCTTGCAGCTGCCATTGAGGCTTCTCTGCATCCTAATAAGCAAGTCGCAAAGGCAAATCCGAAGGTGGAAAGTGGCAAAGCAAATGAAAGTAACGGTATGCCAACCCCGATCCTTCATCTGCCTGGTGAGCTGTGTCATGATCACTCCCTGGTCAGCATACTCCCCTTGCAAACCTTCTTTTGTCATGCGGCCATCATGACTGCAGTCATATAGAACGGGAATCATATTCCGCAAACGCTGCACATGCTCATTCCAAGATGTGGTTTCCGCTGGCTCGAGCTCCCCAGAAAAGCTCATGTTGTAGAGGTTGTCAATCAAGAAGCAGGCATCCATGAGGCCGTTCCAACCTCGCTGCAATCCAACACCGGCAATCCAGAAGGGCTCCGTCACCGAATCGCCGACAAGCCCAATGGGTGGCACAAGGGAAGTTCCAGCCCACGGACCCTGCTTCTCTGCGTCGTAACCTGGGGGTGGCAAATTGAAGGCAAAGTTTTTCTTGCATTTCCAGATCTCTGAGAAGTCAAAGGCCATGACGTCGTTCGGCTCCTCCACAAAACCCCCGTTACTGAGTGTTTCGTCCACCGGAATGCCGACTTCCTTGCATCTGTCCAGAACCCACCGCCTTAAGCGAGTCTTCTCCTCAACCTTGTTTGGATTCACCTTGTCGCGGCCATCATGAAAAGAATAAATACTACCACTGAAGCCGGCCTGCTGCAAATCCTCCTCGTGTTGCTCCACGTGGCAAAAAAAAAGTGCATGTTATGCTCTTTTAGTCTTAGACGAATTCAGGCTGCAAATGGTCATGATCCTTTCTGGTACGCTGGGGATAAACGAATCCTTGTATCCCAACTGGCTGTTTCTCCTTGCTGGGCGTGAAAATGACATAGTTGTGGAAGGAGGCTTTGTAGTAGTTGAGGCCCACCATATTTCCCTTGGCGAGGTGTGCCCGCTTCATGTCCGTGGGCTCTTGGCCGCTGGGAAAGCCCAGCTCCTTCAGCCTCTGTCGCGACACCTGCTCAAAACAGAAGTGGGGAGAAAGGGGAGGCCAGGGGAAAGGAATTGGTACCAGGCCAGGGCTTTCTGTTCGCTTGACCAAAGTATCTCACAACTCAAATGCAACACTTCTCAAGGAATCGAACAAAGACACTAAACCAAGCCCCTACATTGCAGTACAAGGGGAATGTCTGGTTGCAGCTCGACTCAGTGAGAAGAGCCTTGCTCATTGAACCATTGAACAGTTGCCAGATTGTGCAACTTTCCGCCTTTTGAATGTTGGCAACCACGCCGATCATCTTCTTGAAGTTTCGCTTGTCCACCTCAAGGCAACGCACCGGAGAAACGCAACCAGAAAGCCTATCGCTGTCAAGCCAACAGCACGTTCCACACTGGGTCCCCCGCATCGCCAAAGATGTTTGGCTGGCTCTCACGCACACGTGACCGCGCGCCATCACAGCCCATGAGCACGTCGAAGCGGCGGCGGTTGGTGCCAGGCGTCATGTTCTGCTGCTCTGCTGCAGCTGCATCACAAGTGAACCGCACCTCCCACTGAGGCTTCCTTGAACGGCAAATGGGACAAATGGGATGGCACGGCTTTGAGGCATTGCAACACTCACTGCAAATGAGAAACATGCAGTTTCACCAAGCATCTGAGTCGTGGGATCCAGAACTATTTCGGCGTCCTCGTAGCTCATGCCAAGCTGAAAGTCGACCCCAAGCAAGAGGGCGTTTTTGAGCAACAACAGCTGGAGCTCATCAATGCCGATGGATGAGGTGTCACCCTGTGTGAAAACTGGGTAGCACATCTTGGAGGACATGAAGTCCCTTCCATTCAAACGGTCTAAGTCATTCCGAAGGAAATTGAAGACGTGGGGCCGGTTGATGCGGTTGGTGAAGCCTCGGACATCGCACGAACATACAAATTGACCGATTTAGGAGATCAACGGATGTGTATTCTGAAAGGGTGAATTGTATGTATATAGATATATTGGAACCATCTACCGACCCTAATTTCACCCAAAATTATGGTTTACTCCGAATGAAGCCTTCGAGGTCGCAAACCGTTTTGCGAGGTTGCCATGTGTTACCCAAATAAATGGATATGGTCGTTCATGCATTCTTGATTCAGGGAAAGAGCGAATCAGATTGAACTTTGCGTGCGGCACAGTCAATGCGTTTCAGGATATCTGTCTTGTGCATGTGGCGAATGTGTTCAAACAAAACAAGGCGGGGAAGCATCAATACAAGCAGCAAATGATTTGAGCCATGCGCATGATAAAGCATCTGACAAGGATAATCGATAAACCTACCTAGGTTACACACGAATCTAGCCCGCTGACTCACTTGTTGAAGTATCCAATTATAGTTTTCGACTGACCAGCTTGCCCACTTACCGACCTACTGGACTACCCACTTAGCCAATCAGCGAATCGTCCATTCTCTTGTTTGCCTACCCACTGACATACTTGCGTGCTTGGTTCCTTCCTTCCTTCCTTCCTTGCTTGCTTGCTTGCTTGCTTGCTTACTTCCATAGTAAAACACTTGCTTGCTTGCTCACTTACTCCACTTACTCGCGTACTTGTGTACACTTACTGACTTGCTCGCTTGCTGCTTGCTCGCTTGCGTGCTTGTGTGCTTGCTTGCGTGCTTGTCCACTTACTCGCTTGCACAGGCACCCACTCACCCGCTTGCCCACCTACTGGCTAACCCACGGATCTGCTTACTCACTTCCCCAGTAAGAGTACATTGTCCATTTCGGGGAAAAATTTGGAAGCACTCAGATCCAAGTCAGGAACGGCTAAACAAAGCCTCAATCCATGCCACCCTTAACACAGCATAAACCAACTGAAAACCGGCCATAAACCAGCCCTGCACCTGTCTACCCCAAAACTACCCTAAGCCCAACTCTAAAACCTCAAACCCGCCTCAAACAAACCCAAAACCGAACCTAACCAATCACGCCCCAAACCTAAGCCTCAAGGCAACCCTCAATCCATCCTGAACGACCACTAAACCATCTGGAAGCAGTTCCAAGCCGATCTTAAACCCACAAACTCCAACCTAAATCCGAGCATAAAACAACTCTCAATCCAACCTAAACCAACTACAAGTCCACCCTACAAGAAGGCCGATCCGAGCCTCAATCAACTCTCAACCAGCCATGCACAAACCTTAAACATTATCCATCCATCCTAAAAAACAAACTCACCCCAAACTTTCCCTCGAGTCAACCCAAAGCAAGCCAAGCCAACCCCAAGCGCGGAACAAAACAAGTTGTTTGATTCCATGTTCGCCAATCCCCAGCAGCCAAACGTGCAAATTGCCGATGCCCACCCCAACCATCCCGACAGCCCCATCCACCCCAGCCATCCTTTCCGACCAACCGTGCTCTCGATCATCCCGACACCCCAACCGTCCCCAGTGTGTCGACCGCCCCAGCATCCTCACCTAAATGACATAGATGCACCTTTGACCAACGCAACTATTGATTTCACCAACCACCCCATTGCACCTATTCATTGGTGCAACATTGACCATTTCGCCAACGGTCCACACCGTTCAGGCCAGCCAAAAACTTCTGACGGCTCTGTTCCGAGAAAAAAGTCCCAAATCAAACCCGACCTTAAACCAACACTGAACCAAACCAAACCCTCAACAAGCGTCTGGACCCGACCGATCCGAGCATCCTAACCATCCTGTCAAATGTTTCCTGTCTACCCACTCGCCTACCAACCAATTCCACTTACCAGCTGCCTTCCACTTACCCGCTTGCCCACCTACTTGCTCAAGAACTTGCCCTCCCACCCTCACACATCATTCAAACGTTCACGCCTTCACCCTGGCTTTCGCATATACGGCATGTTTGTGCGGAAACTGAATCCTCCGATCAAGGAACCCAATTGCTGCAGTCGTCCTGAGGCGTCCCGCTGCTCTCGTCGCTTCTCGAAAACGGTGACCTCCAGTTCAAGCCCACTGAATAGGAAAATCTGCAATGACCCTTCCAGGGTGAATGTGCATGATGTGCATGATCTGAGCGTATGGGCATGAATCCAAATTCCTGTCAAGTGAAGTCCCGAGACCCACAAGCGAGAACCTGCCTGGTGTCCCCCCAGTCGCAGCTCGATGGCCAGTCGAAGCCCCACAGGCCCTCCACCCACCACCAAGACCTCAAGGGCACATTACCACAGTGGTTTGAAGGCTGCGCGAGCATGCGTATGCTGATGCTTCTCTTGTTCGCTTGATTAACCAAACAAATTGTATCATAACCCCTCGTAAGATGCCTGAGGCAATTGTCGGCAAGGTACAGCATTACCTCATTTCCTGCACAAATGGAACTGTAAGCGGATAGTCAAAATGTGACAAGCTCACATTGCCAAGAAACGTATACCTCTCAAGAAATGGAGAATAACTGAATGTCACCCAGGCCGATATGAGCAAACCATATGGGCATGCAAGTTCAACAAGGTGAGAGAAACAGCGAAGACTAGGTATGAGCAAAATTGACAGCAGACAACTGTTTACTGAAAGAGCAAAAAACACAATGCGTCGACTCCACATCCTTCACATCCTTCCAAGGAGCGCTCTGTGGCACAACCTCTGCGTTGGGATTCGGCTGCTCGAAGTTGACGGGGTCTCCAGCGCGGTAGGCGGCGCCACGGCGCTCGAGCTCGTCCAGGCGGCGCCAAATACGGGGCCACTTCCAGTGCCCACCGTCACCTACCAAGGCCTCAAGCAAGGGCTGGCAACTGGGAGCCCTGGCCTAAATCAAGCCGGCTACAACTACCAATTCTAATAATATTGATAAGCACTTGAGCCTGCAGTTTCTCGTACGGGAAGACCAGAATGTTGGTATCTGACGGCCCACAGGCTGTATTGATGACAGTACTCTGCATGTCGTCATCGTAAATCTGCCGCCACCTCTCTTGCCCATAAGCATGAAGCCCTTTGTTTTTCTCATAAACACAAGCAGCTGTCACACAAAGTGGTGCTGGTGTTGTCAAGGCTCAACTCTGCCAGATCCTCCCCCCTGGTTGCCGGGGGTTCGGCTTGGAAGAATTCCTTCAGCAGAACGGTTTTGGCCTAGTCAGGCCAAAACCAGAAAAAACTTGTAGGTGAGACGGTCAGTGAGGTTCGACGAAATGCCGGAAACGCTGTTTGTTTTTTTGGTAACGAGGTACCTAGCAGCAGAAAAAAAAATACGGCCTGCAGAAAATTTCATCCCGTGGTGACAAAAGTATTTCACCCGCAGAAGCCTTGCCCAACTCCTCCAAATCTTTTGGTGTGAGTGCCATCTGGACAACCGGCGGCTGTACACGCTTCAACTTACGCCTATCCTTGCTGCCCAAAGCTTTATTTGAGCCAAAACCAACGCAAATCGGTGCGAGCACACATGACCCTCGCAGCACAGGACCTGTCAACATCTGCCAACAAATGATGCGATTTCGTTGCAATGCAAAACCGATTTGAGAACAAGTAAGCCAACATGCAAAGTCCTTCTAAACTATCCTCCAACTGCCCCAATGGTAATACCTACATTGGCAGAACAAATTGAGTCAACACCTTGAAGCAGACTCCGGCAAGCACTTTTGCCTAATTGCTGATTGAACTTTCCTTGCAATCACAACGTGATGATTCAAACTGAAACGAACTTGTTTTTGAGTTTTTTTATGAACAAACCGATCACCGTCAACACGACTATCAAAAGCTCCTATCAAAATGCACACTGCCCATCCATGCAGACCTCGAATGGGTCAATGCAATGCACGACCTGCACGAGCCATCTCCGAATTGTTGATTGGGAAATCAGGTTCAAAGACTACGTGCTCATGTACAATGCAATGTGTGTATTCAACTGATGATGTGGATGGCTATGCGAATGTGTCTGTCTCAAGGGAAGCGATTTCGCATCCTGAGCCAACATCAGGCTGCAACATTTTCATAACTTCCGTACAACAGCAATGCAAAAGCGTGCGGCAAGGAAACATTTGTCACGATGCCAAGGTTCATTCCGTGATCGCGAATAGCCGCGTGAACCAAAACAAACCGTCACTGTCTTTAAATGGCAGTCTGCCTCGCATCACAGGAAACTGGCACTGTTGTCGATGAATTTGCACGTATGCCACTGCTATTTTTTGTTTTTGATCATCGTCGGCGCAAGGTTTTCCAGCATCAAACGAGCAAATGTGAAAGCACTAGTAGGCTGTTTCTTCAGGAATATAGTGTTCTCACTGACAAATTAACTATCAAACAAAAACCAGGCCCCAAATTTCGGTCTGTCTTGACCGAAATTTGCGTTTTTCAGGTGCAGCGTGTCTTGCTACACGGAGGGTCAATTGCCAACATTGTAAGTTTGCTCGTTGTTAAATTTAAGCTTGTTGCAAAAGAGAACACATTTGCGTGGAGACATCCGAGCCAAAACATCAAACAAAAACAGCAAAACACACAAATCCCACACAACAACCACAACAGAAAAGGGGAGTTTCACGGCTTGCGGCAACGCTGGCGGCCACGGATTCCGCGTCAGAAAGAGGAGGTGCTGCATTTCCCGACGCCAAGTGTGCCGCAGGTCCGATTTGAAGACGCTAACGTTGGCACCAGCCAACGATCCAGTCAAACAAAGGAGTTTCTTCGCGCGCCTCCTCTCCTGGCCGAGTTGTCGAAAAAACTGCCAAGCTCCCATTTGGGCCAGTCCTGCGCGCACCCGGGCTGCATGATTTTGTGCATGCGCAACTCTCCGCGTTTCGCTCCCCACCTGCCCAGCCTTGCCGCATTGGGCTTGCAACCTGGCTGCGGCGAATCAAAGTCATCTTGGCGCAGGCCGATCGCCACACCTAGTTCGAAAGCGAAGCAGCAGTTTGTTTTGACACTGGCGGTTGCTGAAGTGAAGCAAAGGGGGGTCCAGCCCTGAAGCCACTGAAGCAAGGAACACCCCCGCTCCAGAAAGCCAAAGTGAAACGGCCTCTTGCTCCCTAAAGGTGAAAAAGAAAATCAATCATTTCCGTGCAAAGCGCGCCCCTGATTGGGCCAAAGCAAGCAAGCGTGGGCCCTCAGCCCAAAGCCGGAGTCACCAAACAGACTCAGAAAAGCAAGACTAAAAGTCTGAAGCAAAACCCAAGGGAGAGAAGGGAGGGTGAACAAATTTAAAGCTAATGCTTTGACAGCATGCACCTAGTTCGAGCTAATGCGAAAGCGAAGCAGCAGTTTGTTTTGACACTGGCGGTTGCTGAAGTGAAGCAAAGGGGGGTCCAGCCCCTGAAGCCACTGAAGCAAGGACCCCCTTAGAAATCTGCCAGTGACAAAGCAAACCTTGCCGCCGCCTCCCCCTCTGAAAAACGTAAGGTTGTCGCTCATGCCATTTGCGGCGGAGCGGTCGAAGGGTGCAATCCACGCTCCTCTCTCTTTAGAGGGGGTTTCCCAAATGGATTCTATTCTACCTGAGAGGCTCCTGGCACTCGTCCGTCCAGCATTTGACCTCGTCCTGCGAAGGATTCGAAGTCTAAAACGCTGCGTGCAGGCGTGTGGCTGCAAAATAATGACCCCTAGATATGCGGTTTGGCAAAATGCCCAGCAGCTGCCTTTGTTTCTGCAAGGCGAGCTAAAAAAACAGGGAAAAAAAGAAAGCCAAGCCAAACCAGCCAGAAAGCCAGCCAGGAGCCAGCCAGCCAGCCAAAGAGCCAAGAGCAACCAGCCAGAAAGCCAGCCAGAGCCAAGCCAAACCAGCCAGAAAGCCAGCCAGAGCCAAGCCAAACCAGCCAGAAAGCCAGCCAGAGCCAAACCAAACCAGCCAGAAAGCCAGCCAGGAGCCAACCAAACCAGCCAGAAAGCCAGCCAGAGCCAACCAGCCAAACCAGCCAGAAGCCAAGCCAAGCCAGCCAGAAGCCAACCAAAAAAGCCAGCCAGGGTTTCCTTTGAGGGCGCTCGCCTTGCAGAAACAAAGGCAGCTGCTGGGCATTTTGCCAAACCGCATATCTAGGGGTCATTATTTTGCAGCCACACGCCTGCACGCAGCGTTTTAGACTTCGAATCCTTCGCAGGACGAGGTCACGAGTGCCAGGAGCCTCTCAGGTAGAATAGAATCCATTTGGGAAACCCCCTCTAAAGAGAGAGCCTTGACATTGGTGGCACCAATGTCACAAAGAGGTTCCCAGGACAGCGTCATCGTCTCGTGGACACCCCGGCCGCGCCACCTGCCCGGCATCGGAGCCTCCCACCCGGCCGAATCGAAAGCATAAGTGCCACTTATGCTTTCCAGCATCACATTCCTGCCCGGCATAGAAGCCAGCCACCTGCCGCACCTCTCGCCTGGAACGCATTGAAACGAACCCACTTCGAAAAGCACAAGTGCCACTTGTGCTTTTCGAGCTGTCGAAATTTTCGACAGTTTACCGAAAATTTCGGCCGTCGTGCGCACGTCCCGCGATTGACCGGCGCCACCGGTCAAATCAAATTGAGTCACATCCGAAAAAAAACCCTGGTGCGGGCCTGGTGCGGGCCTGGTGCGGGCTCCAAGACCGAAGCCGCGGAGTTCGGACTGAATGGTACTCAACTGCGCTCGCGGCAGGAATCGAGCCCCGTGCGGAGTAAGAAGCGCTTAGCTCCTTGGCCGACGCCTTAGCCACTGGACTAAGGCGTCGGCGAAAACATATGTAAACATGTTTGAAGGACCTGTCACCGGCAATATCCCGGAGGTCCTGGACAACGGAGAGGTGACTGACGGCACGCACGTCACCGCAGGGCAGCTGGCCCTCGCTTTGACGCCCTACGCTCAAGTAACGGACCTGGCGGTGAACACGGCAGCCTCCGGCAACAACGCAGCGGCCATCCAGTCCCTGGACGACAGAGTCACCGCAGAGCTGGCCTCAAAGCTGGACAGCAGCGCGCTGGCGCCGGCAATTGCGCCCCTGGCAACGGCGGCGGCCCTGGCCACCACGGACGGACAGGTGGCCGCGCACGGAAGCAGCATCGCCGCGCTGCAGAGCTCGCTGACCACGGGTCTCTCCAACAAGGCAGACCAGTCGGCCTTCGACGTGCTGGAGGGCGTGGTGGCCACTAAGAGCACCCCGGACGGCGTGGACCTGAAGCTGTCCAACTACAGCACCACGGCGGCCATGAACGGCTCCATCGCCTCGGCCAACAACGCCACGCTGGCCACGGTGGCCGCCAACTACGGCCTCAAGACGGTGGTGGACCAGCACTCCCTGGACATAGCGGCGAGGATCACGCCGCTGGAGGTGGACACCAAGGTGGCCAACGCTCTCCTGGGGGCCGTCACCGCCGCAGCGCTGGCCTCCGAGCTCGCGAGCAGAGACGCCACCATCTCGGGGCTGCAGGCCTCCAAGGCGGACGCCAGCGCACTGACCGCGTACGCCCTGCTCTCGGCCGTGGACACTTCCTCCGAGGTGGACTCAAAGATCTCGACCGCTCTCCTGGGCGCCGTCACCACGGCAGCCCTGGACGCCGCCCTCGCCGGCAAGGCGGACGCCAGCGCGCTGGCCTCCCTGCTCTCCACGGTGGACGGGCTTGGACACGCCACTGGAGGTAGACACCAAGATAGCAAATGCCCTGCTGGGTCTCGCCACCGAGGCCTTCGTCGCAGCGCAGCTTGCTAGCCGGGACGCCAGCATCACGGCGCTCCAGGGGGCCAAGGCCGACGCGACGCTGCTGGCCTCATACGCCACGAACGCCGCGCTCTCGGCCAGCGAGACCACGCTCCAGAGCGCCCTCGACGCAATCCTCGCGGAGCTCGCCGCCCTGCAGCTTTCCGGCAGCGGCGGAGTTGTTAACGCGCCGGCCTGGGCGGGCTTCACGACTTGGGAGCTCGTTCGCGGAAGCAACGTCGTTCGCAACCTGCATCTGGAGGCTCCTCTCTCTGCTGCGCTGGCCAACGGCGACGACACGCTGAGCATCACGGCAGACTGCTACTCCACGGCGGGCACTGACGCTGCCATAACAGCAGCCTTGCTGGCCTACTACACCTCCTCACAAGTGGACACTCTGTTGGGAGACTACCGAACCGGAACGGCGCAGGACGCGGAGACGACCAGCGCCATCACGGCCGCGCTGCTGGCCTACTACACCTCCTCACAAGTAGACGCGCTGTTGGGAGACTACCGCACGGCAAGCGCGCAGGACACGCAGACGCAGGCGGCCATCACGGGCGCGCTGCTGGCCTACCGGACGGGCCCGGACCAGGACGTGTTCACAACCAACCAAATCACCTCGGCGCTGGCGGCGTACCGTTCAGCCGCCGACCAGGACACGGCGACGGCCTCGAGCATCGCAGCCGCGCTGC